ATGAAAAAAGAGAGCGAGAGAGAGAAAGAAAGAAAGAAGAAGAAGCGAGCAAGACTATCTCCAGACATGATGAGAAGAGTGATTAGAAGAAGCTGAGCCATTTCCAGCAGCCCCAGTAGTGGAAGAAGACGAGAGACTAGGGCCGCCGAAGAGGTCTTTCTTATTTGGCAAACAGATCGACCCGTTAGCCCCCGCACCATCCGGGGGATGATGGATCTGAGAATTATTAGCCGAAGAAGAGGAGGAGGAGAACGAGAAGTTGGGGTTGTTGATCGGCGTGGGCAAGAGCGAGATCCTGCGAGGTCTGATACTATTACTACCATTACCAGAAGGATTATTATTGGTAGTAGTAGAAGAAGAAGAAGATAAGCCGGTATGATCGTGATGAAGTAGATGAGAAGAAGACAAAGAAGGTTTGGCGGATTGGAGAGTAGCCATTGAGCGACGCGCGGCGAGACGGGTGCGGGTGTTACTAGCGGGGGGGAGGGTGGAGGAGGCAGCAGAGCCTAAGAGGGATCGGGCGGCAGCCTTTCTGGGGGATCGACCGGGGCCGGAAGAGGTCCCAGATCCGGAGAGCGAGGAGGAGAGGATGAGGGAGGAGTTGATCAGGGGGACCCGACTGGCCCTCCGCGGGAACTCGTTCTTGGTGTTCGTCGTCGTAATCGTCGATGAAATCGACCCGGTGCTCGAGCCGGTCGAGCCGAGCCCCGCCGGTGCCCGACTCCGCTCCCCCGAAACACTCGGCTCGCGATGGTATATGTTGAGCGAGCGACGACGCAGCGCCGCCGTTGGCTTGGAATGTCGGATCGGCCCCACCGCCGAGTCTCGCCGCCCGGCCCTGGCCACACTCTTCGTCGATCCAGCTTGGCTGTCAGTGTTGCCGGTGTTAGAGTTGGTGTTTGTACTAGAAAGGGTCGTCCGCCGAGTCGGCGGGGCGTCTTCGGCCATCGGATAATTGCTCAGATTCGAGGGCGGCAGAGTGAACCCGCTGAAGCTGAACGAGGACGGCAATGTGACGCGTTGCGCGGTCATCGGCTTGTTTTCGCCTGCAGCCTTCACCGTCAAGTCACCCTCCTCGCCTTCTTCCTCTTCCTCTTCCTCGCCCAGACTGTCCAGCGTGCTGACCATCATCGTCCGGCCACTCTTGCCAGCCTTATTGTTGCGGGAGAGATAGCCGGCCTTCATCCGATTACTCCGGCCGCCGCCGGTCGAGGAGGAAGACTCGTTCGCTCGGGTTTCGACCGTCGGCTTCTCCGGCGAGCTGGCCGAGGGCTTCCCCTCCAGGATTGCAGTCGAGAGGATCTTCTCCGTCGAGTGTGAGGGCAGATCCAGTAGGATTGACGACTGATCCGCCGAGAACATTGACTCGTCTGTTCCGCTCCCCGCAGCCCCATTTGAAGAGCCCGTCCGATCAAACGATTCCAGTCGTTCTTCCCCATCACTCTCACATCTCTCATCTCACTCCGCCCGTCTTACCTCCAGCAACAGTTCCGTTTGACTCACCGACCGCATGCCCG